AGAAGTGACCCTGACAGATGACAGAGATGATGACTGAGATGATGACAAAGAAAATGACAGGACTACAAGTCCCAGAGTCCTTTGTGTCTTTGACCAGAAGAGGGTATCTAAGACTACATCTCCCAGCAATCCCTGGTGTCATGACTGGAAGTGAAACTGACAAATGACAGAAGTGATGACAGAGATGATGACAAAGACAATGACAGAGACAATATCAGGAAAACAATTCCCAAAGTCCCTTGTGTCAGTGACCGGAAGTTAGTGTCTAAGATTACATCTCCCAGCATTCCCTGGTGCTATTACCAGAAGTGACCCTGACAGATGACAGAGATGATGACAAGGATGATGACAGAGACGACGACAAAGACAATGACAGAATCAATGACAGGACTACAGGTCCCAGAGTCCTTTGTTTCTATGACCAGACGTGGGTAAGAAAGACTACATCTCCCAGGATTCACTGGTTCCGTGATAGGAAGTGAGCCTGACAGATGACAGACATGATGACTTAGATGTTGACAGAGACAGTGACAGAGACAATGACAGGACTACAAGTCCCAGAGTCCTTTGTGACTATGACCAGAAGTGGCTTACTAAGACTACATTTCCCAGCATTCCCTGGTGCCATGACCAGAAATGACCCTGACAGATGACAGAGATGATGACTGAGATGTTGACAGAGATGATAAGAGAGATGATGACTGAGACAATGAGAGAGACAAAGACAGGACTACAAGTCCCAGAGCCCTCTGTTTCTTGAGAAGTGGGTATCTAAGACTACATCTCCCAGAATTCCCTGGTGCCATGACCAGAAGTGATGCTGACAGATGACAGACATGATGACTGAGATGATGACAGAGACAATGACCCAGACAATGACAGGACTACAAGTCCCAGAGTTCTTTGTGTCTGTAACAAGAAGTGGGTATCTAAGACTATATCTCTCAGCATTCCCTGGTGCTATGACGGGAATTTGTAGGGCTCTGGTCTCCCCTTACTCCCTGGGGTGCGTCTCAAGGATTATTCTGCTCAGTCAGCTAAAGCTTCCTGCTAATTCCTGTGCTCACTCTGCCATAGCCTGGTGATTTAGCTGTAGGGCATTGTTCATCTTTGGTATGGTAATTTCCCACCTGCCTGGGAGAATTCCTACAAGGCGCCAAGTTCTCTCTCCCCTCTGCTCTCAGCCCCCAACTCCCTGCCTGGGAAGGAACTCATATGGCGCCAGGTCCCATATGACGCCAGGTCATGTGGGAATTCTTTTACTGGGCCAAGGTATATTAGCTTGCCATTAAGCTGAATAAAGTGGCATTCAGTGATTTCTTGTCGAATGACCCTGGTCTCTTGTGTCTTTGTTCAATCTCCAGGCCTTTGCCCAAACTCGCATAAGGTATGGAGGTGCGTGACCCATACTGAGAAGGTAGCAGCAGATTCGGGTGTTACAGGAATTGACCCTGACAGATGACAGAGATGATAACAGAGTTGATGACAGAGACAATGATAGAGACAATGACAGGTCTACAAGTCCCAGGGTCCCTTGTGTCAGTGACCGGAAGATAGTGCCTAAGACTAAATTTCCCAGCATTCCCTGGTGCCATTACCGGAAGTGACCCTGATAGATGACAGAGATGATGACAGAGAAAATGACAGAGACAATGACAGGACTACAGGTCAAGAATCCTTTGTGCCTATGACCAGATGTGGGTAACAAAGACTACATCTCCCAGCATTCCCGGGTTCCCTGACCAGAAGTTACCCTGACAGATGACAGAGATGATGGCATCGAGATGATGGAGACAATGACAGAGAAAATGACAGAGACAATGACAGGACTACAGGTCCAGAGTCCTTTGTGTCTATGACCAGATGTGAGTAATAAAGACTACTTCTCTCAGCATTTCCTGGTTCCGTGACCGGAAGTGGATGATGACCACTGACTGAGATGAGTGATGATGACTGAGATGATGTCATCTGACCGGAGATGACGGAGATGATGACTGGGATGATGACAGAGACAGTGACAGGACCACAAGTCCCAGAGTCCTTTGTGTCAGTGACAGGAAGTGGGTGTCCAATACTCCATATCCTAGCGCTCCATGCTCCTGTGACTGGAAGTGATTACAGAGATGACAGATGTTTTGGGAAAGGATTGGACAGGAATTGGATCCCTGAGGGACAAGTAGTGGATCCCAGATAAACACGAAGTGGATCCCAGGTGGACAGGAAATGGATCACAGGATGGATAGGGAGTGGGTCCCTGAGAGACAGGATGTAGATTCCGGATATACAGGAAGTGGATCCAGGATGCACAGGAAGTTGGTCCATCAGGGACAGAAAGTGGGTCTCAAGTACACAGGAAGTGGGTCCCGCATAGAAAGGAAGTGGATCCTAGGATGGGCAGGATATGGGTCCCTGAGGGGCAGGACGTGGGTTCCTCATGAACAGGAAATGGATTTCAGGAAGGATAAGAAGTGGTTCCCAGATGGACAGGAAGTGGATCACAGGATGTACATGGAGTGGGTCCCTGAGGTACAGTAAGTGGGTCTCCCGTTCACAGGAAGTTGGTCCTTGATGGACAGGAAGTGGGTCCCTCATGGACAGGAAATGCATCTGAGGATGGACAGAAGTGGGTCCCTCACGGACAGGAAGTGGCCCGCGGCCAGCTTTATTCATCCTGCTCTGCCCTCCCCCTGCGGGTGATGCTATTTCCGTGCCAGCATGACATCGAGGTTGCCCCCAGTCTGGCGGCAGTCGAAGCAGCGGACGAAGCCAGCAGCGGCGGCCATGGCCCGGTACTCAGCCTCTGTGCGCTCGCGACCGTTTGTCTGCACCAGCATCGTCAACGACAGCAGCGTTGTGTGCACCGGGCCCTGACCCCCTGGGTCCAGCACGGCCTCTACCAGCAGCAGTGCTGCGCCTGAGTGGGGAACAGAGTGACCCTTGGGTGACTTCTGGGTGAGTGACCCCTGGGTGGCCCCTGAGTGACCCCTATGTGACCTTTGTGACCCCTAAGTGAACTTGATAACAGCTGTTACCCCATGAGCCCTGGGTGACCCCCATGTGACCGCTGATCCCATGAACCCTGTGACCCCTGTGAGCCCTGTTTAAACCCTGTGACCCCTGAGTGACCCCCCATGTGACCCTCCCTGACCACGCTGACCCAGCTGACCCTGCCCTCCCGCGTGCCCGATCCTCCCCAACAGCCGGGCGGCGTCTGCGTCTGTCCAGTCATGCAGGACCCGGGCCAGGATGTAGAGGTCGGCTTGTGGTAGGTGGGACTGGAAGAAGTCACCTGGGGGTGGGTTCGGGGGATCAGGGGTTCATGGGGTGGGGTCATGAGACGGGAAAACGGTATGTGTGTGAGATTGACAGGCAGAGCTGGGATTTGCCCATCGGGTACAGGAAGTGATCCTCAGGCAACCTGCAATATCCCCGCCCCCAGGGTAACTAATGGCCCCAGGCCCCACCCCTCTCCCACCTCCCAGGAAGCGGATGGGCGGGGCCCCCAGTGGATGCTGGAAGTGGGCACGGGCAGCAGCGATGACCTCAGGGGTGTCGAACACGGAGACAGAGCTGGTGGGGTAGAGGCGGGCGCAGGCCGCGGCCAGGGATCCGGAACCACCTGGGGGTAGGGGGTCTCAGCACAGCACCCAGGAAGACTCAGTGCAGCACCCGGGAGGACTCTGCACAGCACCCAGGAGGACTCAGCACAGCACCCGGGGGACTCAGTCCAGCACCCGGGAGGACACAGTGCAGCACCCATGGGAAGGGAGGACTCAGCGCAGCACCCGGGGGAAAAGAGGACTCAACGCAGCACCCGGAAGTACTCTGCACATCACCAAGAGGAGGGAGGACTCAGCGCAGGATCCAGAGGAGGGAGGACCCAGTGCAGCACCCACAGAAGGGAGGATTCAGCACAGCACCCAGGAGGAATCAGCACAGTACCCAGGAGTACTCATCGCAGCACTCAGGGGGCTCGGCTCACCACCAACATCGCAGATAACCCGGAACTCTGAGAGGTCAAAGGCCGCCAGCACCCGTTCCCCGTACATGCTCCACGTCTCCTGCAGGGCACGCATGAAGAGCAGGCGCTCCGCTTCCGACCTGGGGATGGGGCCTCAGTGAGGGGCAGGGCCTCGGGCTTGAGTGACAGGGGTGGGTGTGATTTCCAGGAGTGATTGACAGGAGTGGGAGGGAACACAGATGATTGACAGGGGTGGGTGGGATCACAGAGATGATTGACAGGGAAGGGAGGAATGAGAGAGGATGATTGACAGGTCCCCAGATGTCACCTGTAAATGGCCTCAAATGGCTCCCTCGTGGCCACGCCTACCGCGCGTGGGTACTGGTTCCGCCCCTCCCTGTGGGCAGGGCCGAGGGAGGTGGTCGGGCCGGTGTCCAAGGGGATGATGGGAGAACTGTCGTGCCCGGAAGGCATGCACACCTGATGCCCCACCCACACCAACCGGAAGCCCCGCCCCTACCGCACAGCCCTTCCCAGCTCGCCCCAGCAACGCATTGTCGTCCCCGCCAGGTAGCGCAGCATCGAGCGCTGAGACAGGGGGCTGCCCGCCAGCAGGAACAGGCGCGAGAGCCGCGTGAGGGAGAAGGCAGGGTCTGCGGAGGGGCGGGACCGGGAGATGACGTCATCTGCTCAGCATGCCCAAGGCCCCGCCCACATCATCTTCCCCTGGCCCTGCTGAAACACCACCAGACCACGCCCCCTATGACGCCACACCCCTTGCCCCACCCCGTGATGTCATCGCCCAAGTCCAGGCCCCTATGACGCAGCATCCCAGGACCCACCCCTGCCATGGCGTCACCTTCTCCGCCGCCGCCGTCCCCAGCCTGCACGAGACCCAGGGCGGTGCAAGCATCCAGCAGCAGCCGTGTCCCATGAGGACTCAAACCCAGGGCCCAGGCGACTGCAGTGGCATCCAGAGGACCTGGGGCCAGGGCCTCGAACAGGCCCAGGTCGGAGGCCACGAAAAGGACCTGGGGGCGGGGCGGGGGGACTGAGCCCAGCATCCGTGGGGGAACTCGGAACCCAGTACTTGGGGGAAGACTCAGAACCCAGCACTCAGGGGGATTCGGCACCCAGCACCAGGGAAGAGTCAGCTCACAGCACCCGGGGAAGGACTGAGCACAGCACCCTGCCCTGGGGGGAGACTGAGCACCCAACACCCTGGGGAGGATTCAGTGAACAGAACCCTACCCTGGGTATGCTCAGCATAATACCTGGGCTACTAAACATTCAGCACAGGGGGGGTACTGAGCACAGCACCCGGGGGGGGACTGAGCACCCAGCACCGGGGGAGGACTGAGCACCCAGCACCTACCTGCGAGACCATGAAGCCGTGCATGTAGTCCATGAGGAGGCGGAAATCTCCGTCCTCCAGGTTCCCCTCCACAGCCTCCGCCATCTTCTCCCCGGCTGGCCAGGTGCAGGAAACTGGGTCAATCCGGGATGATCCAGTCAGAGCCAGTCATGGCCAGAGAGGAGGGGGAGGGGCGGGAGGGACTGAGGGCAGAACCCGGATCAACCAGCACCCTGATCACCCAGCACTCTGATCACCCAGCACCAGGATCACCCAGCACTCTGATCACCCTGCACACAGATCACCCAGCACTCCGATCAGACAGCACCTGGATCACCCAGGACCTGATTCACCCAGCAAGGGGATCACCAAGTAACCGGATTATCCAGCACCCAGCGCCCAAATCACCCAGCACGCAGCACCTGGATCAGCCAGCATCTGGATCACACAGAACACCGATGGCGCCCACGCGTGAGCGCAGGAAGAGACCACATGACAGACACCGGGTGCAGGGGAAGGATTTTATTGAACACGGGAAAGCACACGGGGCAACGTGACGCCCAGGGTTTTCCCGACCGCATGGCGGATCCCCACCTAGGGAGAGAGAGAAAAAAGAGAGAGGGCATCGCGTGGGGACTCGGCACCCAGCACCCGCGGGAGGACCTGTTAGAACAATACAATTTTTCACACACAGGCCAGTTATAAAAAAGCACTCTCTCCCTCTCTCACAGAAATAGGCCCCCCCTTAAAAATTGATTTTTTTATAAAGCCCCCCCTTTAGTTAAGTTCCCCTTTACGTGTACTGTGAGGAAAAGCGTCTGCCTGGAACAGAATATGTTAGAGCAATGCCATTTCTCACACATGAGCCGGTTTCAGAGGCACTTCTGCACTCCAGCATCCGCTCTCTAGAATTTTGAAATCCCCCCCTCTAAAATTTGATTCCTCTGAGAGAACCCCCTTCTCTATAGGGGTCCCGTCAACTTGTGCAGGGAGGAGGAGGGGGAGGAGGAGGAGGAGGGGGA